AGAGAACAAGAGAACCAGAGTAAAGAGTAGATCAACAGAGAACAGCAGAGAAAAGATAAAGGAAAAGAAAACCAAGAGAGACACAGTAAATCAAATTATATAATGTAAAAGTTAACACCAAAATATTTTAAAATTACATAAAGTTCAATACAATATTTTTCTGTAGCTGCCCTTAGTTTACCAGAACTATGACTGTAACACATGAACTAAATTTCCTGATTTACACATTTTTTTCTGACATAAATCAGAACATAAGGCTTTTGTAGCCGATAGATGTGATGAATGAAACACTTCTCTCCACTGTGTGGACCATAGGCAACAGTTGCTACCCAATAAATGGGGCAGGGCATGGCCAGAATGTTAGGACTGTGTTTTGTGAGCTGTTCAAAATCCATTTCCTTGTTGGCTTGCCAACTGAGTCCTCATAGATTTGGAGGAGAGTTTATTTTGACTAGACAAAAGCCAGTTGCACTAGAGAGAAACTAACACCTTCCTCCTGATTAGCATTATTTGCTCTTTGACAACATGTGTAGAACTAATTCTGATGTGACACCTTGGACAAATCATTTAAGCTCCTCAGTTTAGCTATACAGAGTGTCCCTGCTATAAGCTGCCCCAGTATACGATGGTTCCGTTTTAAATTCTTCCATTCCCTGTTCTTCTGTCAGGTTTTAAAAAAAACACACACAATTCGCACAAATGGAAGTCAGCTGTGGGGAAAAAAAATTCCCTGCTTTGAATGTATCTTGGACGTAAAGCAGGGACGCCCTGTATGTGAAATGGATGCTGTAAGACAAGGCTAATCAGCACGCGGCCCACGGTGCAGTTTGGGTTTACGCGGGGCTCAACACACAGCCCGTGGGTCAGATCCTTTGAACATGGCCTCTATTGGGAACACTCTTCACAACGGTGAGGCATCTCACAGGCAGGGTGAGCACTGAAAGATGCAAGTGGACAGGCTGGCTAGAACAGACCGGTACTGGTTTTCAGCATTTCTGGCCCCCAGGGGGGGAAGTGCAGGAGCGCCGGGCATTGTGGGAAGTGCTTTGTAGTCAGTGTGAAATAAGCTATTCGCATACATATTTGCATGTGTATGCAACCACATTTAAGTTGCGGCCCTCGGCATGTGCTGTGAGTATCATTGGGGGTTCCAAAGTTGAGTAAATATGCTGTAAGGCTTAAGTTTTGTGAATAGTTTTGAAATCCTCAGATGAATGTTTTTATTTTAATGGCAAAGAATTATGTTTTGTGTGTTACCCCCATTTCTGTTTGTAGATCAGCAGAAAGGAGTAGGCTTCTTTCCTTGCTTTCCTTAGGAAGTCACCACCATGAGAGCAAATAACCAAAGCTGTGTTTTCCTGTGTTACAGTGCTGTGAATGAAATGACTATGCAACATTTTTACTGCAACCATATTTTTTCCCATTAATAGATCAGCCAAGTGTTAGTCTTAAGTCCTCAGCTCTGCTGCAGAACTAGGATACAGACTTGTCTACATGAACATTTAGTCAGCAGCATGCTGGAGTGTGAATCTACGATGCACTAACTGTCTTTAGGCAGCCTGCTGATGTACAGAAACAGTTGCTGTGCTTTGATCTAGCCAACTGTGAAATGGCAGGATATGCATCAGCAAGGTTCCCCCAGACAGCAGAGTGAAGTAGATTCAGATCCCAGCTTGCTGCAAATTAAATGTTCATCTAAGACAAATGCTTATTAATTATTTAGCACCTTGTACTACCTTTTAGCCTGCACACTTAACTCAAGTTGACCACACTTAGAACATTAGTCATTTTGATGTTCAGTGCCACAAAGACTTTTTTAAAATAGTAGAAGCAGAATGTATGTTTGTTTGTTTGTTTGTTTGAATTAAGTTAATTTCACATAACTTCACCATATTACAGAAGATTGTAATCCTTGTTAAGTGTACATTTTAATTCTACATATTTCTTGTTTCAGTTGCTGGAAAAGTCTTAGAAATTACTGAATTGCCAGAAGGAATAACTCGTATGGAAGCTGAAAAACTATTTGGAGAACTCTTTAAAGTTGGTGCCAAGATTCGGTGGCTAAGGAATCCCCAGTGTCTACAGACACAACAGCAGCACCAACACCGTTATTGTGGCAGTGGAGATAATAATGTGAACATTGAACCCTCCAAACCTAGTGACTTGGCCTCCACATACACAGTTCTAGCTACGTTCCCTACAATGTCAGCAGCCCAAAATGCACTGAAGAAACAAAGTAACTCAGTTAACAAATTCAGGCTGAGAACAAGCAAGAAGCACTATGAGTTTCATATTCTGGAAAGGGCTAGTTCTCAGTAACAACTACATTATTGGACATTCAGCCTTTATTAATTCCATGTCCTTCTCTACTTGATTGGCTTGATGTTACGGGGTTTCTGTTCTCTTCATAGAGACTCCTGGGATGTGTTCTCACATGACATAATAATCTTTGAGGAATAACCCAGTGATCAACAAGAAGAAGAAAAATAGATATACAGTTAAACCCAGACAAAAGTAAGAATCCATTTGGACAAGATATAGAGGCAGCTTTCTATGAAGAATGCTGTTAAAATGCCCCTTTTATAACAGTTTTGTTTTATATTCCTGAATTCTTGTATCAGATCCAAAGCTCTATTGTACAGCAAACTTTTGTTCATAATGAATACCCATATTCAAATCCGTATTTTGTAATCCCTTTTCACAGTCAGCACACAGCTATACGTTTTAGGGAAGAGGGCATGGGGTGGGGTGGAGTGGGTTGAAGGGAGAAAGAATAACTATTAAGAAATTACAAAAAGTCTCCAGTTACCATATTTCTCTTCCCTGTGTTTCTTTTTCAAATAAAGCAATTACAGTAACTTGTAAATGTCTTACACAGTCCTTTCAAGATTCACTCAGTGTGAAAGATAATTACAAATAAATTATATATTCTTGAACTCATTTCTCATCAAACAGGTTAGCATAAGTATTAAAGGGGAATATAAAAATGTCTAAACTACAAAGAATGTTCATTGAAGCCAGTTTAAGAGTGAAGACATTAATGTATCTTCCCAAATGATAAAATGTTTGCACTTTGTGTTTTCCACCAGTATAAATCTTTTTCTTTCTTTGCACTCTAAGATAATTGTGTTAATTAAGTGCCGGACCCTTCTTGAGTAATTTAAATATGTTTTCATCATTTGCAAAGGATCACTGGATATCAGAAGTTTCATTGCACATACAAACGAAACTTTTTTCAATTTCTGTGTAATTTGCAAGGCTGTACAATGTGTGCTGATGCAAGCCTTTTTTCAGTTCAAGAAAATAAATGTTTACAAATACAAACTTTTTCCAGTGCATTTGTTTAAACTGTAAAACTGTTTGAAACTTAAGTGAATCCATATTATGCCATTTTGCAAGTTTTCCTCATATCTAGGGAACAGACTTTAGCGGAACTTAGCATACAACTTGCCGAATGAGAGCCAGACCCCCCAAAAAATTACATTTTGACAAAATCTATTCTCCTGTCTGTGATGTGCTCGATTTTAAGACTTGGTGCAAAACTTTAAGCATTGCAGACTTAATAATCTCTGTTTTTTCCCTTTTTGCATATAGGTGTGTGTTGCTGTCACCAACTGTTGAATATGGAATTAAGTAAATCATAGAAGAGGAAGGTTTTACATGAAAATTTAAACGAGGATATGATGATGGGTTTATGAACATGATGCAGAGGGGAACTTTTTTTATGACTGGGAAATGGTGCCAGGGGACACAGTTGGTCTAGTTAACTGAAAGCTGGTTACAACCTTGTCTATAAAAAGCTATGGCTTCTCTGTAGTGTTTTTTATTGAATGAATGTGCCTGACAAAGCCTCACAGCATTTCCACGTAAACTTTATAATCACAAATTAAAACATAAACTGACAGTGTCAAGACACACACAAAATAGCAAATAGAATGTAAATCCCATCCCCTTTATGCTAACACTGTGACTACCAACAAGAGGTCAGACTGATTTAGGTGGAAAATCGTGCTGACATATCTAAGGATTCTACTTTGGGCCTCAAAGTGGTTGCCAAATGGGACAGGTGAGTTTTCCCACACTGCAATAAAAATTGGTCTTTAGAATAGGACCAGATAAAATTCAAGTAACTTGTATCTAACCTGCTTCCCTGAAAGTGTGTGTGTGTTTGGGGGGGAAGGGGATTGACATTTCTTTAGAGCCCAGACATCCAAACCCTACTTACTCCCCACCTCTATGAAGGGAGATTTAAAAGAGGAAGTAAGCCATAGGAAAAGCAGCTGGCATGCTCAGTCATTTATGGCTAGGCTCCACAAAGCAGGAAGGTCAACACCCTGCTCTCCAAGATGCTGAGGGATGTAGCATTCTGCTGGTCTCCAGGGATTCAGCAGCATCACTGGACTTATGGGCTGTGTCTAGACTGGCAAGTTTTTCCGGAAAATCAGCAGCTCTGCCGGAAAAACTTGCCAGCTGTCTACACTGGCCGCTTGAATTTCCGCAAAAGCACTGACGATCTCATGTAGGATTGTCAGTGTTCTTGCGGAAATACTATGCTGCTCCCGTTCGGGCAAAAGTCCTTTTGCGTAAAAGGGCCAGTGTAGACAGCTCAGATTTGTTTTTCGCAAAAAAGCCCCGATCGTGAAAATGGCGATCACGGCTTTTTTGCAGAAAAGCGCATCTAGATTGGCATGGCCGCTTTTCCACAAAAAGTGCTTTTGTGGAAAAGTGTCCATGCCAATCTAGATGCTCTGTTCCGAAAATGCTTTTAACGGAAAACTTTTCCGTTAAAAGCATTTCCGGAAAATCATGCCAGTCTAGACGTAGCCATGGAGACCTGCAAGTTAAGTTTCAAGGCATGGATTAGGCACTGGTGTGCTCATGGGAACTTAATTTTATCCAAGAAGAATTAATTTGAGCTTGAGGTATAAAATGAGATGCTCATTCACCCAACCTACAAACCAAACAGATCTATATTCTTGTCCCTCCCCAGATGGAATAATTAATTGTTAGCTTTTATGTTTCTGTACTCAACGGTTCCTTAAAACACCACATTTCCCATATGATTGTTTTGAGCAGCCTGTTGTTTGCTATAATTAATCTTGTGGGAAATTGTTCAGTTGTAGGTTTTTGTTCTCCCTTTGTGTTGTAGACTTGTGTGAAAGACATGGTTTCTATTCATAATTATCACTGCAGCTAATTTCCATTATAAAGTCCAGTGTTAGCCATTATATTTGCTTAGAAAATCAGTTTGGCCTAGAAAATACTGCATTTCATCCTAAAATCAAGGATGTTTACCTAAAATTTGAAGAAAATTGGTCAAATCACTTTTTCATTACATGTAATTAAAATTCATCTTGGTCTGAAATTTTTATTTTAGATTAAATCTGTTAATCGTTCTGTGTGACAATTTTGTCAAATTTGCTTAGTTAAAGCTGATGTGCTGGTTCTATCTAAAGGAAATCCTTCACAATTAAGCAAAACTTGCTGATGTGCTGGTTCTATCTAAAGGAAATCCTTCACAATTAAGCATACTCTTTATGCCAGTATCTAAATTGTTGATGAATATATTAAACAGAACCTGTCCCAAAACAGACCCTGTGGAACCCCACTCGTAATGCCCTTCTAGCATTATTGTGAACCGTTAATAACTACTCTCTGAGAACGGTGATAGAAATGTAGCCGTCTTAGTCTGGGGTAGTTGAAGCAAAATGCAGGACAATGTAGCACTTTAAAGACTAACAAGATGGTTTATTAGAAACAAGATGGTTTCTTCCACTATTTGATCTGAGGAAGTGGGTCTGGCCCATGAAAGCTCATCATCTAATAAACCATCTTGTTAGTCTTTAAAGTGCTACATTGTCCTGCATTTTGCTTCTCTGAGAACGGTTATCCAGCTAGTTATGCACCCCACCTTATAGTAGCCCCATCTAAGTTGTATTTCCCTAGTTTATTGATAAGAAGGTCATGCGACACCATGTCAAATGCCTTACTAAAATCTAGGTATACCACAGCTACTGCTTCTCTCTTATCCACAAGCCTTGATATCCTATCAAAGAAAATTATCAGATTGGTCTGACGTGATTTGTTCTTTATAAATCCATGCTGGCTGTTACCAGCATGAGATGAGAGAAAATTTGAGGGGTACTACAATTTTAATCAACTCACCAGTGTTATATTATTTAAAATTTGAACTGAAGAAATGGAAATAAAACATGGCTAATTGGGCACAAAGTACAGTAAAATGGCCTTAGTTAAGGACTGATAATTAGCAATGATATCACTTATTAAAATGTGTAGCCAAATAAATTCTTAAACAATTCATTGTAAATACCTGCCTAACCATGTTGAAGCCAAACACTGGATCTAAACTCTGCTGGCTATGTCTAGACTGGCATGATTTTGCGGAAATACTTTTAACGGAAAAGTTTTTCTGTTAAAAGTATTTCTGCAAAAGTATTTGCGCAAAGCATCTGTGCCAATCTAGACGTGCTTTTGCGCAAGAAATCTCTGATGGCTATTTTAGCCATCGGGCTTCCTTGCGCAAAAAATTAAGGTGTCTGTCTACATTGGCCCTCTTGTGCAAGTATTCTTGCGCAAGAGGGCTTATCCCTGAGCGGGAGCGTGGAAGTATTTATGCAAGAAGCACTGATTTTGTACATTACAAAGTCAGTGCTCTTGTGCAAATTCAAGCGGCCAATGTAGATAGCTGGCAAGTTTTTGCGCCAAAGCAGCTGCTTTTGCACAAAATCTTGCCAGTCTAGACGCACCCTGCTGGGTTTAGCCCATTTGAGAGCATATTGAGAAACATTTATAAAAGTTTTGTTATTATTTGGATGCTGTAAATTGATTATTAGGCTTTTTTACAGCAATTGTATACATACTATTCAGCATTTGGATTGAACACAAGTTAAATTAGTATTGTAATAATATGTATAAATAATCATAATTCCAATATTGGCATAATCTGTCTGAGATCAATGGGAGGCTTTTGCCATTGATTTCAGTCGGGTAAGATCAGGCATTATTATCCAGATTTTCAAAGTGACTAGAGATTGTTGACTGTTGATTTTTGAGTGACCTGCTTTTGAAGCATTTTTAAATGGTCTGATTTTCATCAGTCTGAAAATCCAGCTGTTTTAGTTCTCATTTTGACACACTAAATGGCTAGTCAGTTTTGAAAATTTTGATCTATGTTTGTGTGAATATTACCATCTGCTGCTGACTTGAAAATTAGCAAAATTATACTGTTCCTTCTATAGTTAATAGGGACCTTCTTTTTGTTCAAGCTGTAGAGCTCTGTTTAGAATTATAAGAGCTGAATTCTAGTCTTAGTTTGTAGTTTTGTGATTTATTATGGAGAGGTGATGGCTTATTTTGAACCTTCTTGTAACTCCTTGATATTTCTGGCTATATTTGATTACTAAAGTTCCTTGGCTTTGCTGTAAGAAATATGAAAAGCATAGAAGTGTTCAGTTTGATCCCAGAAGACCAACATGTTTTAATTGATTTTTGCCTTTTATTATTTGTTCTGGCAATGATGGTCTTCCACATTTGAGCTTTGTGCTTCTGAGGACATAAACTGTAACAAATTGTTCTAGCTCTGCAGTTTGAATGTCAGATGAGACTAGTGCTGGACGCCTGAGAGCTATACTAGAAAAGCTGTGGGTTGCTGCCAGTAACAGTATGTGCTTTAAAATTGGTCTAAAGTTGCCTAAATACATTCTCATAGAAGGCTGCGTGGTATAGGTCAGGTCAGTCGAGTTTTAATGATGGGGAAAGTAGTTGTCAACCTGTGATTGCTGACCCCTGGGGAATCTATGATTTCCAAGTGTTCGCATGTCCACAAATGAAAGTGCTTGCCAACCACGGCACTAGAGCACCTGCTACATCAGGTCTACTCAACTTTGGAAGCCCCGGGGCCCACAATGATACTCACCGCACATGCTGAGGGTTGCCTATATATGCAAATAGCTTCTTTCACACAGCCAGCCATGAACCCGAAGGTTAAGGCAAGATTACACACCCCACATGCCCCATTTAAGTCAGTGCTGCTGCTATTCCTAACAGCAGCATCTACCCGATTGCCACCCCTCGGACAGCCCTTCTCAGGAGCAGTGCCAGCCAGGCCTGCAAGCGCTCATCCACGGAACGGGCCACGTGTGGAGCAGCCCGCTGCCACACGCAGACCCGTAACGCGTTTCTGCCGCCCCCGCCGCCTGGGAACTTTTTCCTCCGCCTGCGTCTTGTGTAACCTTTCGGCAGCTTCGACTCCAGCGCCGCCCTGCCCCCCGCTGACAGCTGCGGCACCAGTCAACACCCAGCCC